GGACGGGGGGTCCCAGCGGTTCCCCCAAAGCGAGGAGACAGGGACACAGGAGGAGGGGACGTGGGGCACAGCCCCCCCAGTGCCAGCCAGGCCTTGTCCTTGGGCAGGGTCACACGCAGCCCCTCAGCGGCGCAGAGCCCGCCGGGACGGGGCCGGCGGCTCCCCGGTGATGGCCCCGCTAATGACAGCGGAGTGTGACTGGGGGCAGGAGCAGGCGGCGCGGGGCCATCGACCCATATCGACCGGCAGCGCTCAGCGGCAAGGGCGCGGGGGTCTGCGGAGGGGGCAGGGGGACATTGATGTGTATAATTAATGGGAATGAGGCCACGTGCGTGGGGCCAGGGTGCTCGCTGGCCGTGTCCCCCCGCCGGGTGCAGCTGAGCGCGGTTATAAATGGTGGCCGGGCGGCCCCTGAGCCAGACCGCTGAGGAGGCCCCCAAGCCGGCCCAGGTAAGGCAGTGACGGACGTGGGGTCCCCTTGGCCCTGGGTGCGCAGGGACGGGTGGGCAGCGCTGCCTGCTGCGCCATGACATGCTGTGCCAGTCCATGACATGCTGTGCCACAGCGTGCCACGGCGTGCCGTGCTGTGCTGTGCCAGGAGACTGTGCCCGCACCGCCCTGCTCTGGCTTCGTCCCCGCTGCGGGATGCCTCCCGCTTGGGCGCCAGATCCCAGAGCATCCCAATGCCGGTGCAGGCGCCCAGGCGGGCTCTAGATGCTGAGGCTGGGGTGCTGCCGGTGTGGTGCGCTGGGGGGTCCTGCCTGGGCAAACAGCGAGGAGTTAACCCATCCCCTGCTCTCAGCCTCTCCTCTCCTTCTCTTGCAGGGAGCTGAGCCCCAGGTCCCGTCCGCTTCCACCTGCCCCTGCCTCTGTCTGATATGTTTGATATTAGGTTGTTTTATTGGAAAACCAACTAAATATCAAACATATTCTTACAGCGCCAGGGATGCCCAGCACTGACCCGGCGAGATGCTGCCTGCACCCTCCTGTGGGCAGGGGGGAGTGCGGGGGGTCCTTCCGCGCCCCTTTCCACACACCCAGTCCGCCCTCTCGCTGCTGCAATAAACCCCTGTCTCCATGGGGCCGGGGAGAGGGAGCTGGGAGCTGCCATCCCCGGGGGCCGGCGGAGG